TAAATACAACGAACAACCGATTGCTGTCCAGTCCATTCCGACTCCTAGCAACCCTATAGGACAGAGCAGAACGGCCCCATAGGGTTTCCAAGGAGCAGCTGGCGGACTCAAACTACTGGCAGTTTTACTTAGCAGACGTAGCTCTTAACCACTGCATCCCAAGAACGCTGGGTCCTAATCTTATATGCTGGCGTCCTTATAAAAGAGAAGAGATACAGAGGGAAGACGGCCTTGTGAAGACCGAGCAGAGAGGGAGTGATGTGACCACAAGCCCAGGAACGCCTGGGGCCACCAGAAGCTGGGAGAGATGAGGAGGGATCCTCCGGTAGACCCTCCAGAGGGAGTGCCACCCTGCCCACACCCAGAAGTGTCTGGAAGGAGGGTCTTTGCGGATGTTATCAGTTAATATGAGGTCATACCGGAGGAGGGTGGGTCCTAATCCCATTTAAGTATCCATCCCGACTCACGGGGACCCTACATGACAGAGTAGAACTGCCTCCATAGGGTTTCCAAGGAACGGCTGGTGGATTCGAACTGCCGACCTTTTTGGTTAGCAGCCGAGCTCTTAACCACTGTGCCACCAGGGCTCCAACTAAGTGGTGTCCTCTAAAAGAGCAGAAGAGACACAGAGTAAGGACAGTCACCACGTGAAGACACATCTACAGGCTGAGGAACACCTGGGGCCACCAGAAGCTCAGAGAGAGGCAGACACCGTCTCCCTCAGAGCCTCATAAGGAACCAACATGGCCAACACCCTGGTCTCAGACTCCCAGCCATCAGGACTGAGAAACAATAAACTTCTATTCTTACAAAGCCCCTGGTTTGTGGTATTTTGATACGGCAGCCCCGGGAAACCTCCAACACCCTATACCATCAGGTATCCAGGCGATCCACGCAAGCTGTGCTTCCCAGAAACTCCCAACGCCCTCCCTGGCTCATCCTCATCTGCTACGTGGAGCATTGTGAGAAGTCCATTCTGCTCCCTCCCTCGGTACTTTCTGGAAACTGTGCCGTCTTTATTACTCATCATTTCTCTGGCCGCTCCACCCCAACTCATGCTTGCTGGAGGGTTTTCTCTCCAACGGTTCTATTTTCTTTTTTAATAATTTATTTCATTTTTGTAACCATCATTGTTATTAAGAATATACACAGCAGCACACATACCAACTGGACCATTTCTACGCGTGCAATTCAGTGACACTGATTACATTCTTGGAGTTGTGCAACCATCCTCACCCTCCTTTGCTGAGTTTTCCTTCCTCCATTAACATAAACTCACTGCCACCTCCCCAAGGTTCCTATCTAACCTTTCAAGTAGCTGTTATCAATTTGCTCTCTCCTGGGGTTCTAGTAATGTCTCCAGTCACATCTGGGCAAAGCAATCCACTGTTCTTTTTCATGGTTAAGACACATGAGATGAGCTGCTTACTCCCGCTCATTCCCGCCCCTAAGTCTGTCCTGGCTGTGGTGATAGGACATGGTCTTCGTAAGCCCCCCGGCTGTGGGGATCTAGTGGCTCAGCTCCTGAAGACGTTCTTCTGACCTGGGCCATGGAGATCACCAACCCGAACCCAAGGAATTTTAATCAGCCTTTAAGTTCATCCACTTTAGGACATGTTCCCAAATCCCAGTATCATCCAAAGTCAAATTTCATACAAAGAACTGGACCGTAAACTGGCATTCTACATAGATCTCCAGATATACCGTGTCCTTTACAAAGTAAACCAGTTGCTGTTGAGTCTCTTCTGACTCGTGAAGAACTGTGCTCCTTAGGGTTTTCAATGGCCGATTTTCTGGAAGTAGATGGGCAGGCCTTTCTTCTGCAGCACTTGCAGGTAGACTCGAACAGCCAACCTCTCAGTGAGCCACTGGACTCTGATTGTGCCACCCAGGGATGTCACTGTGTTAAACATTGGTTAAGAATTTCAAGATGGCAACCAAGCCAAAACCATTACTTTTGAGTCCAATCTGACCCATGTGCTCCATGTGTCTCAGAGCAGACCTGGGCTCCACTGGGTTTTCGATGACTTATTTTTAGGAAGTAGATTGCCAGGGCTTTCTTCTGAGGCACCACTGGGTGGATTTAAACCTCCAACCTTTTGGTTAGCAGCCAAGCGCTTAACCACTGTGCCACCAGGGATTCTTTCTCCTGTTACTAACATCTTGCAATTTTTGTGGTTGGTTTGTAACAATCGATGAACCAACAGTGATACGCTGTTATCACCTAGAGTCCAAAGTTTACATAAGGCTTCCCTCTTTGTGTTGTATAATCCCATGCGTTTTGACAAAGGCATAATGTCGTGTGTCCATCATCACAGTATCATACAATAGTTTCACTACCCTTCCTGCTCAGCAGTACCTCTAGGGATTAAGTACTCTTTCTGTCTCGGAGGGTTCCCTGGGAAGCTGCAGTACCACTGACAGTGCATGCGGCCACAAGGCAGGGGCCTTTAGGACAGTTTGAAACTGAAGACACGCTGTGTACCACCTAGTACTGTTTTTAGAGGGAATTGTGTATATGAGGTGTCTGAATTTTTGGTAGGAAAATAGAAATTGTGAAAATCTTTGTTACACATATGTACCAATAGTCCCCTGTGGGGACTGGGGTATAATTAGCGGTACTTCATATGTACCGCTAAACACTTAGGGTAGACTTGTGGGGAGGGGCAGGAAAAAAAACAACACACACTACCTACCAAAAATTCAGACACACTCCGTGACTCAGCATGCTTCCGTTAAAGAAAACACATGGCATCAACAAAAAGTTCAAAGCAGAAAATAATTGGGTCACAAAAGGGTTAAAATACCCTGTGCTCCAGCAGGTCACCATTGATACCTTCACTCTCTCTAGTTTTGCCTTCTGGAGAATGTTCTAGACTTGGCATCATATAGTATGTAGGTCTTTCTCTCTCCCTTGATCTTTCTTTCTCAGCTTCTCTGTCTGCTTTCTGTTATTCCTATCAGAAAACTTAGAGAACGTACCCCATCCCCCCAAAGTTATTACAAGTCTGAGGGATACCTGTTAAGTAACGACCACTAAGATATGCCAGGTGGACAAGGCTGAATTTCCGGACCCTACTGGAGATAAGATGTTGAAAAGAGTGTCTGTTCTTTGCAAACTCCTGTTTCAGGAATTCTTGTTTAAACGCATGCTTCCTTTTTTTAAAAAATGAAATAAATGTGTACTTTTTTAGGGACGCTGAGCTAGCCACCCACTATATACGCTTGCCCCCTAGTGGTTAAACCCATTGATTTATTTAAATCAGCCATTGCTCCATAAGGATTAGATTAAGAGACGTTGGGGAAGGGGAAAGGATAAAAATTGTTATTTTTTTAAGTAATTATATATGGAGAGAGCATAAAATGTATGATTGGGGGATATGGTTAATTAATTATCCAGTCTGAAGTGTTTTGAGGGACGGCAAAGGTTTGTATCATTTAACATATGATGTTTTTCACATGTCTTCAAAATAAAAAATCAAAAGAAACCAATCCCATTGCCATTGAGTCAATCCCGACTCATAACGACCCCAGAGGACACAGTAGAACTGCCTCGTAGGGTTTCCTGGGCTGTCATCTTTATGAAAGCAGATCACCAGGTCTTTCTCCTGCAGAGTCTCTGGTGGGTTCGAATCGCTGGCCTTTCGGCTAACAGCTGAGTCCCCAACCACTGTACCGCCAGGGCTCCTTGGCTTCAAAACAGCTGATATCAAAGCAAGCACTACTGCCAAAAGAATGAATACATCAACTTTAGATAAAATATAACAGGAATGATCCTTAGAAGCAAGGATGGCGAGACTTCATCTCGCTTACTTTGGACACATCAAGTAAGACCGATCTCTAGAAAAGGACATCCTGTTTGGTAAAGTGGAGGTCAGTGATAATGAGGGAGACCCTCAACGAGATGGACTGACACAGTGGCTACATCCACAGACTCACACACACCAACACTGTGCGGATGGCGCAGGACAGGGCGATGTTTTGTTCTGTGATACATAAGGTTGCCGTGAGCCGGAGCCGACTCGGCCACTAACCACCACCACCACCACCTACGGGCCGTGTGCTGAGTCTTTTACAGATATTATCCCCACGGATCTTTGCAACAATCCTATGACATACGTACTGTTAGTGTTTGCATTTTGTAAATGTGACAAGTGAAGCTTGGGCAGTTAAGGAACGTTCCCCAAAGTCACACAGGTGGAACCTCCAGCCTTCCAGGTAGCCGTCCAGCACATTCACCGCCTGCACCACCCAGCAACTCCTCAATGCACATAACAAAAAAAACCCAAACCCATTGCCATCCAGTCGATTTGGACTCACAAACACCCTGTAAGACAGAGTAGAACTGCCCCACAGGGTTTCCAAGGAGCAGCTGGGGGATTCAAACTGCCGACTTTTGGTTAGCAGCCGAGCTCTTAACCACTGCGCCACCAGGGCTCCCTCGTAAAGATTACAGCCTAGAAAATCCTATGCGGCAGTTCTACTTAGTCATATAGGGTCGCTATGAGTCCTACCCAGAGTATACCAAAAACCAAACCCATTGCCGTCCAGTCGATTCCAACTCACAGCAACCCTCGAGGAAAGAGTAGAACTGCCCCACAGGGTCTCCAAGGAGCAGCTGGGGGATTCAAACTGCTGACTTTTGGTTAGCAGCCAAGCTCTTAACCACTGCGCCACCAGGGCTCCTCGGTACACATAGGCCCAGACATTTAGTTTGCTTTGAAGAGCAAAAGGAGCCTGGTGGCACTGTGGTTAAGCACTCACTGCTTAAAATGTAGCAGTCTGCTTCCATAAAGATTACAGCCTTGGAAAGCCTATGGGGCAGTTCTGCTGTGTCCTACAGGGTCACTAGGAGTTGGAATCAACTTGACGGCAATGAGTTTGGTTTTTTTGGAGAGTAACAGAGCAGATGGGACAAATGGCTATACATGCTTGCTTCCTACCACTCAAGACATTAGAAAAAGAATACAAAAATAATTAAACAATTAAATAAACAGTTATCACCAGGAATCCAAAAGGTGAACAGAAAGCATTAAGACAGACGGACATTTAATCATCTGGAATTGGAGATGAACTCATCGGCCCGCATTGCACTCACTGCAGATATGAAACGGCCAAGCGTGGCAGACTCCAATCGCCTGGTCTCTAACATCGCTTCTTGTTATGACTCCCCAGCTGAGGGCTCCCCCTCTTCGTCACACAGGCAGAATGGGAACACCCCACAGCAGGGCTTCAGACACATCCTGTCCCCATTTAACTCCGACAGCTGCTCCTGGGTGGGAACCACCGATTCCTGGTGATCCCTCAGGGTGGCGGCCACCTTCTCAGTCACCAGGTCGAACAGGGGCTCTGTGTCCCTGGAGAGTTGGGGGGTGGACACAGCGGGATCCCAGGAGGAGATCAAAGAGCAGAGGGGGGTTGTGGTGGGTAACGCTCTGCTCCAACCACTGGCAGAACTTGGTCGTGTAGCAGGCTTGAGCTCCCGGCGGCTGGAATAGTGGGGTCACGTAATGAGCCTTCCGAACAGCCCCCCCTGGAGAAGACAAGACCATCAGACACATCCACCACACCTGCCCACTGCCCTCTCTCTCCCTCATCTTCTTCAGCATCTCTCTTTGCACCCCGGTTCGTGCTAAATATTATTCTATCTGTAGAGCCAGACTCAACCAGTTGTCCTTGAGCTGACTCCCACTCACGGCACCCCCACATGTGTCAGAGCAGAACTGGCCTCCACAGGGTTTTCAGGGGCTGATTTTTTAGAAGTAGATCACCAGGTCTTTCTTCCAAGGCACCTCTGGGTAGATTTGAACCTCCCACCTTTCAGTTAGCAGCCAAGCATGTTAACCATTTGTACCTCTCCTTGGAAACCCTATGGGGCAGTTCTACTCTGTCCTATGGGGTCACTAGGAGTCAGAATCAGTTCAACGGCAATGAGTTTTTTTTTTTTTTAAGGGACTCCAGAGCCCTATTAAAATAAATAAACAAACAACTCAGTTGCCGTTCAGTCAGTTCTGACTCATGGCGCCCCCATGTGTTACAGCGAAGAACTGTGCCCCATAAGGTTTTCCTGACTGTAAACTTTTCTGTACGTAGGTCACCGGGCCTTTCTTCTAAGGGCTTCTGTGGGCAGGAACCCCCAACTTTGCAGTCAGCGGCTGAGAGCACTCACTGTTTGCACCATCCAGGAGCCCCAAACCAGGACGTCAGAGTCCCCGTGTTTGAACTTACACACCTGTGCAGCTGTCAGTAATTCTATTTCTCAAAATCTATACATCTTAAAGATGTCTCCTTGCCTTTGTAAGGATAGCAACGTTCAGAGGGTATTTTCACTGACTGCTGACGAGTCCGACTCCTAGCCAAAAACCTAGCTGTGGTTTTCCAGCCCTGACCACAGGCAATTACAAATGCTTTGTGTGGCCAAGGGTCCCCAGGTGGCACAAACGATGAAGCACTCGACTACTAATCTAAAGGTTGCTGGTTCAAACCCACTCAGAGGTGCTGTGGAAGCAAGGCCTGGCGATCTGCTTCTGTGAAGATCACAGCCAAGAAAACGCTGTGGAGCACAGCTCTACTCTGCAACACATGGGGGTCGCTATGAGTCAGAACCGACTGGACAGCAATGGGCTTAGTTTTTTATTTTTACATGGCAGACCTCAGCTGAAAGCTGCCCTCCCCACGCAGACACAGTACACAGTCCTTGCACTGCAGGTTCTGAAGGCAGTTATCATATTTTTTCCAAATAACACGACTATGTAAATAACACATCCACCCATATAACACACACAGCACAAAACTAATGCATGAGGAGGGTTCTCAGATGGCAAAAAAAGTGTGATTTACATAAAAATATGGTACAGTTAAGGACTGAGGCCCTCCCAACCAGACACGCTTTTTTCAATACCTGTCTTCCTAGCTGTTAGACTCAACTGTGCCCCCCAAAAATGTCTTTATCAACTTGGCTAGGCCATGATTCCCAGTATGGTGTGGCTGTCCTCCATTTTATGATCTGATAGGATCACCCTATGTGTTGTAAATCCTAACCTCTGTGATGTTAATGAGGCAGGATTAGAAGCAGTTATGTTAATGAGGCAGGAATCAATCTACAGGATTAGGTTGTATCTTGAGTCAATCTCTTTTGACATACGAAAGAGAGAAGTGAGCAGAGAGACAGGGGGACCTCATACCACCAAGAAAACAGAGCTGGGAGCCGAGCATGTCCTTTAGACCCGGGGTCCCTGTGCTGAGAAACTCCCAGACCAGGGGAAGATTGATGACAAGGACCTTCCTCCGGAGGTGACAGAGAAAGCCTTCCCCTGGAGCTGGCGCCCTGAATTCGGACTTCTAGCCTCCTAAACTATGAGAGAATAAACTTTTGTTTGTTAAAGTCATCTACTTATGGTCTTTCTGTTACAGCAGCACTAGGTGACTGAGACACCATCCACTTGTGGTATTTCTGTTATAGCAGCACTAGGTGACTGAGACACCATCCACTTGTGGTATTTCTGTTACAGCAGCACTAGGTGACTGAGACACCATCCACTTGTGGGATTTCTGTTACAGCAGCACTAGGTGACTGAGACACCATCCACTTGTGGTGTTTCTGTTACAGCAGCACTAGGTGACTGAGACACCATCCACTTGTGGTGTTTCTGTTACAGCAGCACTAGATGACTGAGACACCATCCACTTGTGGTATTTCTGTTGTATCAGCACTAGGTGACTGAGACACCATCCACTTGTGGGATTTCTGTTATGGCAGCACTAGATGGTACCAAAACAATAACCCAGGCACCTCTATCAGAGGTCTCTTTATTACTGGGGGCCTTCAGCTGAGGCCTACCCCAGGCCTCTCACCCAAGACCTCCTACTGAGGGGAGGGGGAGATCCCTGAAGACACTTTTCTCCACTCTGTACAGTCAGTACCTGTCCACTCCTAGAGCTTCTCCTTCACCACCACCCACCCCAGTCCTCATGCCTAAAAAACAGGAGGAGCCTTCCCAACATCTTCCATAACCCACCGCAGTCACCTGGCACTGTTCCACAGAGAAGAAATGGAACACAGGTGTGATGGATTGAACTGCGTCCTCCCCCAGAATACGTGTTGTAAATCCTAACCCCTATACCTATGAATGCTGACCCCTGTACCTGTGGAGGAGCCCTGGTGGCACAGTGGTTAAAGTGCTCGGCTGCTAACTGAAAGCTCCGTAGTTTGAACCCACCAACTGCTCCTGGGGGGAGAAAGATGGGGCAGTCGGCTTCTGTAAAGATTACAGCCTTGGAAACCCTATGGGGCCATTCTACTCTGTCCTGTAGGGTCGCTGTAAGTTGGAATCAACTTGACAACAGTGGGTTTGCTTTTGGTTTTTATACTTGTGAATGTAATCCCATCTGGGAATACGATTTTCTTTATTACGGGAATGAGACCATAGCAATGTAGGGTGTGTCTTAAGCCGATCACTTCTGAGATATAAAAGCAGCTGATTAGACACAGAAGCAAGCAAGCACAGATGGGGGAAGACAAATGCCATGTGGAGATCGCCAAGGAAATGAGGAACAGAAGCTGAAAAGAGACAAGGACCTGCCCCCAGAGCCAACAGAGAGAGAGAGAGACTTCCCCTAGAGCCGGCGCCCTGAATTCAGACTTCTAGCCTCCTAGACTGTGAGAAAATAAATTCCTGTTTGTGAAAGCCACCCCCTTGTGGTATTTCTGTTACAGCAGTGCTAGGAGACAAGACAACAAGTGAATCAGCGCTTTCTTGAGGTTGTTGTTGTTAGCTGCTGTTGAGCTGACTCCAACTCATGGTGACCCCTTGCGTGCAGAGCAGAACTGTGCCCCGAAAGGTTTTCTTGGCTGAAACCTTAATGGAAGCAGATCGCCAGGCCTTCCTTTTGTGGTACTATTGGGTGATTTTGAACACCTGACCTTTCGGTTACCAGCCATGCACAAACCGTTTGTGCTACCCAGGGACCTTTCTCAAGGTTAGCCTCTTGTTTATATCATGCCAACCAAAAACTACACACAACAAACTCACTACTATTGAGTCAACTCCAACTCATAGCGTATCCCAGTCAATTCTGATTCGTGGCGCATCCCAGTAATGAAAAGTTTGACTGTTACTTTCACTTTAGGTCTTTGTTTTAAGACCAGTTTGTGGGACACTATTGGCTCAGCTCACCTCTCAGCTCAGCTCAGATCTTTACGACAACCTTTTGGCTGCTAACCAAAACGTTGGCAGTTAGAACCCACCAGTGGCGCCACAGAAGAAAGCCCTGGTGATCTGCTCCTGTACAGATTCCATAACCCGTTACTCTCGAGTCAATTCCGACTTGTAGTGACCCCATGTGACAGAGTAGAATTGCCCCAGAGTGTTTCCTAGGCTGTAGTGTTTATGGGAGTTAGATCTCTAGGTCTTTCTCCTTGGAGCCGCTAGGTGGGTTCGAACCGCCGACATCTTGGTTAGCAGCCAAGTGCTTAACCACTGCACTACCAGGATCCACTGGTGAAGATGTGAGCCAAGAAAACCCTATGGGGCGGTTCTACCCCATAACATACGGGGTCGCCATGGGTCACAATCAACTCAACAGCACCGAACAACAACCAAAACCAGAAAAAAACTTGTTGCTGTCACGTCGATTCCGACTCATAAAGCCCATACAGGACAGAACAGAGCTGTCCCATAGGGTTTCCAAGGAGCGGTTGGTGGATTTGAACTGCCAACCTTGCGCCCCAGTGCTCCCTAACAACAACAGATGGGGAAATAAGAAGAGAATGATGGGACCGGAGTGACCGATCTTGCTCTTGGGGTCAGCAAGGAGCAGGTGAACATGGACTCACTGTCCTGTGAGGGTCACCTCACAGCGTGGAGGTACGGGCCACGGTAGGGAAACAGCAACTCATGCTCGGAGCACTGGACCTCACCCTTCCACAAGGGCACGAGGTCTCGGCCGTCAGTCACCCTGGGGACACAGACCAAGATGCTAAGACAAAGGGAAGCTGGCCACCAGGCGGCAGGAGGTATGCTCAGTGCAATCCTTGTCAACGATTTCATCCTACTTGGATCCACATTCTCTGCCCGTGGAAGCAGCAGTCAAGAGATCTAATGACACATTGCATTGGGCAAATCTGCTGCCAAGGACCGCTTTAAAGTGTTAAAAAGCAAAGATGTCACTTAAAGGACTAAGGTGCGCCTGACCCAAGCCACGGTATTTTCAATCACCTCACATGCATGAGAAAGCTAGGCAATGAATAAGGAAGTCTGAAGAAGAATTGATGCCTTTGATTTATAGGCTGGAGAAGGGACTCCAATGCTGACACTATAACCTATATTTTGGAATGGGACGTTTAGTTCAAATTGATGAAAACCTTTCTTCCAAGAAGAAGACAGGAGTCCTTGGGTGGTACAAACTGTTAAGGTACTCGGCTGCTAACTGAAAGGCTGGAGGTTTGAGTTCATCCAGAGGTGCCTTGGAAGAAATGCCTGGCAATCTACTTCTGAAAACTCATCCATTGAGAACCCTATGGAGCACAGTTCTATTATGACACACATGGGGGTGCCACAAGTTGGAATCGACTCAACAACTGGTTGGCAGATACATAAATGACAGATGGATAGATAAATAGATATAGATAGATAGAGAATATATAAAATATATACTGCTATATGTGGTGCAAACAGTTAACATGCTCGGCTGCTAACTGAAAGGCTGGAGATTCAAGTCCACCCAGAGGTGCCTCAGAAGGAAGGTCTGGAGATCTACTTCTGAAAAATCAGCCACTGAAAACCCTGCGGTGCACAGTTCTACTCTGACACACAAGGGGTCGCCATGAGTCAGGGTTGTCTCCACAGCTACTGGGCTGGACTGGTCTGAAGATGGGCCATGGTGGTATACAAGTGGTCTCTGATACATGAATGCTGTTGCATAGGACAGGCATACACAGCAGTAAAAGCACCCAGGGAGACAGGGCATCTGTCAGGTGGTGTCCTTTGTCCTGAGCCTCGTTAGACGAAAGGAGATCGAGCAGGAGCTCTTGTGAACAGATTATACGACTTCACATCACCTGTCCTGAGGCAGGATTCCTCCTGACAAGGAGGCTAGAGTCCAGAAAATATCCATTAAGCTTGTAGGTTCCTCAGTCAATCGTCCAGTGGGCAACTTTGCAGGCCGTCGGAAAATTGCCGGGACACGGATTCCACCTTCCCAGCCTCCCGTGACTTTACCGCCTACAAGACAATGGAATTAAGTTCAGTGATTGTGCCCAGATAGTCATGGTGGCGAGTGTCGTACACAGAATATCAATACGGATACCAAGATACTTGACAGCAGGAACTCAAACAGATGTTTGCACACTTGTCTTCACTGCAGTATTACTGCAATCACCAAAAGGTGGTAGCAACCTAAGTGTCCATCAACAGAAGAATGGATAAACAAAATGTGATATACACATACAATGGTGTATTATTCAGCCACAGAGAGAAACGAAGTTCTGATATATGCTACAACATAGATGAACCTAGAACACATTAGGACGAGTGAAACAAGCCAGCCATCAAAGAACAAATACTGTATAATCCCACTGATAACGAAATAGCTACCAAAAAATCCAAACCAACTGCCACCGAGTTGATTCCAACTCCTAGCGACCCTACAGGACAGTGTAGAACTGCATGATAGGATTTCCTAGGCCGTAATCTTTATGGAAGCAGACCACCATATCTTTCTCCCGAGACGAAATATCTACAACAGGAAAAATCATGGAGACCAGAAAGTTCATCAGTGGTTAGCAGGGGCTGAGGGGAAGGGGAATGGGGGGTCATGGCTTAAGGGAGCACAGAGTGTCTGATGAGTGTGATGAACAAATTCTGCAATACGGCGGTGGTGAAGGTTGCACAGCATGCTCATCATGACCAGTCAATGAATCATACACTGGATAACGGTTAAAACGCCAAATGCTTTGTTAGACACATTTTACCACAATAAAATTAAATTAAAAAGTGTATCAGTATGGACAACATTTGCTCAATGCTCTCCTTAGGGAAAGTCCTGATGGTTTTAGCAGGACACAGCCCTGGAGTTATGCTGCTGATGGATTTTCAATTGAATAATTAGTCATGTTCAATATTGGGCGTATGTGATGGCTACTTTCTCTGCCCGTATTTAGTTGTGAGATACCACTGAGTCACTTCCGAATCACAGTGACCCCATGTACCACAGAACGCAACACTGCCCGGTCCTGCGCCATCCTCACAATCACTGCTATGCTCGAACCCGTTGCTGCAGTCACTGTGTCAATCCATCTTGTTGAGCGTCTTCCTCTCTTTTGCTGGCCCTCTGCTTTACCAAGCATGATGCCCTTCTCCAGGGACTGGTCCGTCCTGACAACACGTCCAAAGTACATAGAATGAACTCTCACCATCCTCGCTTCTAAGGAGCCTCCTGCCTGTACATCCTCCCAGATGGATTTCTCTACCTGGAATGCTCTAATTTCAGAACCAAACCAGCTCCATTGCCAGCCTCCTTCACACCTTTCCACTAAGTTACCTTCTTAGGTAAAAAGGCAGCCCTATCCCAGCTTTCCCCAACCTTGTTTCTGCTCTGTATTTCGTAGTACTCGCAGCACAGTGGTTAAGAGTTATGGTGAGCTACGGCTGCTAACCAAAACGTCGGCAGTTCGAATCCACCAGCCAGTCCTTGGAAACCCTATGGGGCAGTTCTACTCTGTCCTGTAGGGTCGCTATGAGTCGAACTCGACTCAAGAGCAACGGGTTTAGTTGTTTTTTAGCAGCCCTGGTGGTGCAGTGGTTAAAGTGCTCAGCTGCTGACCCAGGGACTCCTGTTGACACATGACAACCTATTAAATGGGAATAGAAATTAATACAAGGTTGATGGGAGGAGGGGCTGAAAATGAGGAAAAGTGACCATAACTACGGCTCATCCAAAAATACTCTTCAAGCGAAAGCATTTTTTCACCATTTACTACATACACAAGGAAAGGAGCCTGGGTGGCACGGTGGTTAAGAGCTCGGCTGCTAACCAAAAGGTCTGCAGTTCAAATAACCAGCCATTCCTTAGAAACCCTATGGGGCAGTTCTACTCTGTCCTATAGGGTCGCTGTGAGTCGGAATACAAGGAAGGGTGTGATGGAAGAGAGAGGTGGCACAATGGTTAAAGCACTCAGCTGCTATAACCAAAATGTCAGTGATTCTAATTAATCATTGGCTCTGCGGAAGAAAAGACCTGGTTATCTGCTCCTCTAAAGATCATAGCTTAGGAAATCCTATGGGGCAGTTCTACTCTGTCACACTTGGGGTCGCTATGAGTTAGAATCAACTAGACAGCACACAACAACATATCATCTAGGTTCCTGGAGAGCACAAATGCTTTGTACTCACTGACTAAACGAAGGTTGGTGGTCTGAATGCACCCAGAGGAGCAGAGACCTGTTTCCATAAGATCACAGACATTGAAAACCCTCTGAGCACGGTTCTACTCTGACACTTACGGGGTCGCCAGGAGTCAGAGTCAACTCAACGACAATAGGTTTGGTTTGGTTTAACATATCATATGATATACTTATTTTACTTTCTGGTCTGTCTCCCTCCACTAGAATCCAAATGCCATGAAAACAGGGAGTTTGGCACCCTTTGTTCACTGGTGATCCAGCACCCAGAAAACTAAAGGAATGCAATTGTATGAGTATATGCCAGTTTAGTGCACACAAGAGGGCATTTTTAAGACCAAAATGAGGAAGTAACATTAATTACACTAGAGCAACAAGTATAAGCCACAATTCCCACGGGCAAAGTAGGAGGTACTAATGTCTTACGGTCTTAAAGGAGTTTTAATTTGTTCATTAAAAATTACTCGAAGATGTAATCCATCACATAAATAAAAGATAAGAACCACATAATCTTATCAATTGAGGCAGAAAAGGCATGTGACAAAGTCCCACACCATTCATGATAAAAATTTTCAGCAAAATAGGTATAGAAAGGAAATTTCTCAACATAATAAAAGGCATCTATGCAAACCCAACAGCCAACATCATTCTTAATGGAGAGAGGCTGAAAACATCACCCTTGAGAACAGGAGCAAGACAAGGATGCCCTTTATCACCACTCCTATTTAACACTGTGCTGGAAGTCTAAGCTAGAGAAATAAGGCAAGAAAAAGAAATAAAGGGCATCCAAATTGGTAATGAAGAAGTTAAACTGCCCTTATTTGTGGATAATATGATACTATACATAGAAAACCCAAAAGACTCCATGAGAAAACTACTGGAACTAATAGAAAGATTCAGCAGAGTAGCAGGATACGAGATAAACATACAAAAATCAGTTGGATTCCTATACACCAACAAAGAGAACTCCAAAGAGGAAATAACCAAATCAGTATCATTTACAATAGCCCCCAAGAAAATAAAATACTTAGGAATAAATCTAACCAGGGATGTGAAAGACCTATACACAGAAAACTACAAAACACTACTACAACCAACCAAAAGAGATCTACAGAAACAGAAGAACATACCATGCTCATGGATAGGTAGACTCAACATTATGAAAATGAATTCTACCCAAAGCAATTTACAAATACAATGCAATCTCAATCCAAATACCGACAATAGTCTTCAAAGAGATACAAAACTAATCATTAACTTTATATGGAAAGGTAAGAAGCCCCAGAGAAGTAAAGCACTACTGGAGAAGAATAAAGTAGGAGGACTCGCACTACCTGACCTCAGAATTTAGTATACCGCTATGGTAGTCAAAACAGCCTGCTACTGGTACAACGACAGAGACATTGACCAATGGAGCAGAATCAACAACCCAGTTGTAAATCCATCCACCTAAGGTCACCTGATCTTCAACAAGGGCCCAAAGTCCATCAAATGGAGAACAGTCTTTTTAACAAATGGTGCTGGCAAAACTGGATGTCCATCTGCAAAAAAATGAAACAGGACCCATACCGCACACCATATACAAAAACTAATTCAAAATGGATCAAAGATCTAAACATAAAGCCAAAAACTATAAAGTTCATAGAAAAAAAACAGGATCAATGCTAAAGTCCCTAATATACAGCATTAACAGGATACAAACCATAATCAACAACACAAAATCCAGAAGATAAGCTAGATAACTGGGATCTTCTAAAAATTAAACACTTATGCTTATCAGAAGACTTCAACAAAAGAGTAAAAAGAGAAACTTCAGGCTGGGAAAAAAATTTTGGACATTACAAATCAGACAAACTCTAACCTCTAAAATCTACAAAAAAATCCAACACCTCTACAACCAAAAGACAAATAATTAAATTAAAAAATGGGCAAAGGAAATGAACAGACACTTCACCAGAAAAGACATTCAAGCGGCCAACAGACACATGAGGAAATGCTCGTGATCACTAGCCATTAGACAAATGCAAATCAAAATCACCATGAGATGCCATCTCACCTTGGCATTACTGGCACAAATAAACTGGAAATAACAAATGTTGCAGAGGCTGCAGGGAGATCGGAACTCTTATGCACTGCTAGCAGGAATGCAAAATAATACAACCATTTTGGAAATCAATATGGCGCTTCCTCAAAAAGCCAGAAATAGAAATACCACACGATCCAGCAATCCCACTCCCAGGAATATATCCTAGAGAAGTAAGAGTCATCACACAAATAGACATATGCATACCCATGTCAACTGCAGCATTGTTCACAATAGCAAAAAGATGGAAAGAACCTACATGCCCATCAACAGATGAATGGACAAACTATGGTATATACACATAACTGAGTATTACGCAACAATAAAGAACAATGATGAATCTGCGAAGTATCTCATAAAATGAATGAAACTAGAGGGCATTATGCTGAGTGAAATAGATCAATCACAAAAGGACAAAAACTGTATGAGAGCACTACTGTAAGAAGTCATGAAAAGGTTTACACACAAAAAGAAACAATCTATGGTTATGGGTGGGGGGGACACACTAAATAGACAATAGAAAAGTGGTAACTTTGGTGAAGGGTAAGACAGTACACAATACTGGGGAAGCCGGTACAACCTGTACAAGGCAAGGTCACGGAAGCTCAGTAGACACATCCAAACTCCTTGAGGGATCGAATTGCTGGGCTGAGGGCTGTGGGGACCACTGTCTCGGGGAACATCTAGCTCAATTTGCATAACATAGTTTATAAAGAAAATTTTCTACATTCTACTTGGTG